GGGGTGGGAAGCATCTGGCCTGCAGGCTGTCTACCACCTGCAAAATCATTTGGTTTGGTCCTGCCAGGCAACCGCAAGTGGGACTCGAAATACGATAAGTCTATAGAAGGCTAATTTTTAAGTTGATAATTTAATATGGTCTACAAATGATGTTATAAATATGCAAATAGCCCTTGGCAGGAAAAAGTTTCCTTACCCCTGGCCTAGAGGGAATGATTTAATAGACAAGAAATAAGAACAGTTAATTTGTAAAAGAATATAAATGACTATTAAACTTCATTGATTTGACCTTAGTTCAGAAAAATGGTGAAATGTGATGTGAAGTGACATCACTTTCCTGGGTTTGGTCAGAGTTCCACAAGATTCAATGTTGAATGAAGACCAGGGATTTTCTGTAGCATTTCATAGGCCCCATACTGGCTGAAAATGATATGTATAGATAAGGTAGGCTGTTCACACACATTTTTTTTTTAAGATTCCTAAATATAATCATGAGAAACCAATGGAAAGTAAGTTGTAGTGAAATAGTCAATTTCCGTATGAAAGTTCCAAAACTGCTGGAAGTAACTGATTTAGTGCATTTTGATGACACTTTGCATATTCATAATGCTGCCAGCAGTGTCACATCTGGCACATACTATGGTAAAACTTCAGTACTTATTCCATCCGGACTTCATGCTAGAGGCTGGCATGGTGGTGCAGAGGGTTAAGCTACTGCCCCCAACGCTGGCATCACATGTCGAGGCAACCTCCTGCTAATGCACCTGGGAAGCACTGGAAGATGGCCCAATACTCAGGCTCCGGCCACCCACGAGGGAGGCTTTGGCCTGGCCCTGAACTGGCTGCTACAGCCATTTTGAGAATGTACCAGTGGATTAAAGATTTCTCTCTCTCTCCTCCCACCCCTTCTTTGCTCCCTTTTTGCTCTACCGTTTAAATAAATAAATACATCTCTTTTTTTCCCTTCAACTTTCCTTCTTCTCCAAGAGAACACCAAATGATGGATGATGCCAGTGCAGCAGGAAGGCCCAGAGGCTCTGAGGGCCCTGGAATGGGAGGCTGCAGCAGTGACATCCGGGCTGCAGCCACGAAGCTCGCCAGAGGCCAGGCCAAGGACAAGGAGTAGCTCCCTATCACCAACCTGGGCCACCGGGTTAAGGACGTAAACATCACGTCCCTGAGGGAGATCTAGCTCTCCTCCGTGCCCATCAGGGAGTCTGAGATCATGGCCTTTTTCTGGGGATGCCCCTCAAGGATGAGGCTTTGAAGACTGCACCAGTGCAGAAGCAGACATGGCTGGCCAGTGGACGAGGTTCAAGGCTGCACTAGTGCAGAAGCAGGCATGGCTGGCCAGTGGACGAGGTTCTAGGCTTTTGTAGCCGTCAGGGACTACAATGGTCATGTCAGCCTGGGTGTGAAATACTCTAAGGAGGTAGCCACTGCCATCCCAGGGGCCATCATCCTGGCCAAGCTACTAGGCGAACAAGATGGGCAGACCCCACACTGTGCCTTGCAGGGTGACCAGACGCTGTGGCTCTGTGCTGGTGTGCCTCATTTCCGTTCTCAGAGGCACTGGCATCGTCTCAGCCCTGTCTCCAAGAAGCTGCTGTGGTTGGCTGGCATTGATGACTCCTATGCCTCTGCCAGGGCCTGTACTGCCACCCTGGGCAGCCTTGCCAAGGGCACCTTTGATGCCATGTCTGGGACCTACAACTATCTGCCCTGTCCTGGCCCCGATCTCTGGAAAGAGACTCCCAGAGAGTGTCTGTGCAGAGGACCCAGGCTCCAGCTGTGGCTACAACATGGGTTTTTAAGCAAGAAAAATACACTGAATTAAGCCTTTTTTTTTTTTTTAAAACAAAACAAAATACATTAGAAGGGATGATGATAAGGAGGTATTTGTGTTGTAAGCTTTACACGAATTACCTGATCTTCACAGTCCCAGAGAGTTTGAGACGGTTAGTATCTCAGCAGAGTTGGAAAGCGAGAGTGAGGAAGGTTAAGTAACTTGCCCAGGGATAAATCACTGGGAACTGGCAGACCTCAGAGCCTGTGCTCCTAGCTTCTTCTTAGTTAATAATATCACCGTAGATGTCTCAAAAGCACTTAGGATTCACTTTAATTCAAAACCGACCTCACCAGCTTTACTCTGCTCTGCTTTCACCTTGGTATGTTTCCATCATTTTTTCTCATTCAATGTCATCTCCTTTCCACCAGTTTCTGAAACCAGAAACCTAGTGCACACTCTTGCTACCCCCTCAAATTCAGTCAGCCCTCAACCTCGTCAGCAGTAACTCCTTCTAGATCTGGTCTCTTGAAAAGCTCTTGAACCCTTTCACTTTTCATTTCTGCAGCTGCCAATGTCAGCTAGACCTGTTACCTCCTTACTAGACTGCGGTGTGCACCTTGAAGCTTCTACCCTTACTCATTTCTAGTGTGACCTTCAAGTATGGACTGTTCCCCCCCGCCAAGTGTTGTATGTGTGTGTGTGTGTGTGCATTTATGCCTCCTTAACCACCTCCTTAGGATGAAGGCTAGATGTTTAAGCAGAGCCTGCAAGGGACGTTGGGCTGTGCTGACCTCGTCTCTCTCATCGGCCACTCTTCTCCGTCTGGGTGACAGGACCTTTAGTGGCACCATGAGTAGTTTGTGTGCTGCCTGCCTGGAGTTGAGCCTGCCTTTCCCACCCCGAGCTTTAACTCCTCCTCATCCTTCTAGTCTCGGATAAGCTTTCCCCTGGCCATCTGCCCTTGTCCTCCAAGTACTGTAACACTGTAGCATGGAAGACATTTGATTGGACATGTTAATGGATGTTACTGTTTGTCTTTCCCTCTGGATCCTTGAGGGCTGTAGTGCATACCCAGTGAATTTGCGTAAATAACACATACAGTCTTCGCTGCTTAGTTTTATCCTTGAGGAAGCTAAAGCTTTAATGGCATAGTGTCGTTGTTAGAATGTGGAGTTGGATTGCTACTCAGGAGCTGAAGTTAGTTATTTAACCTCTGCAGGTCCCAGTATTTTTTTTTTTTTTATCTCTTAACAAAGGGTAATGGTAAAGCCTGGCTCTTGGGTGGTTGTGGGGATTGTGTGAGTTAATGCTTGTGAAGCGCTGGGGGCGGTGCCTGAGCCTGCTAACCTGCTCAGTGGGAGCTCCTGTCCTCAGTATTGGAATCCATCCAAGGTCATGCACTGGTTTCTTGCAAGAGCCTGTCACAGAAACTAATTCTCCTTCCTGCTCTTCTCCATCAGGAGATCAAGTGGAACTCTTGCAAATTTATTCTGTTCTGAGCTGGAATTTATCTTTATACTTTCTTTTAAAAATGAGTTTGCACTGCTTCTTGCACAGAGAAGGTGTGTGTACATTTTGGTGCCTTCAGTTTAATCCAGTTTCAAATAAGGACCATACATACCCACCCCAACTCAGTGAAGGTGTTCCTGCTACACAATGAGAATTGGTGCTTACTGAGGGAATAAGAGGGTTGAGTAGATGCTAAAGAACTTTGCATGTGAAATTAAGGTTTTTTTTTTTTTTTTTTATTTGACAGATAGAGTTAGACAGTGAGAGAGAGAGAGACAGAGACAGAGAGAAAGGTCTTCCTTCCGTTGGTTCACCCCCCAAATGGCTGCTATGGCCGGCACTGCGCCAATCCGAAGCCAGGAGCCAGGAGCTTCCTCCTGGTCTCCCATGCGGGTGCAGGGCCCAAGCACTTGGGCCATCCTCCACTGCCCTCCCGGGCCACAGCAGAGAGCTGGACTGGAAGAGGAGCAACCGGAACTAGAACCCGGTGCCCATATGGGATGCCAGCGCCATAGGCGGAGGATCAACCAAGTGAGCCACGGCGCCGGCCTCGGGTTTTTTTTTTTTAATATTTATTTATTTGAGAGGCAGAGTTAGAGAGAGGGAGAGACAGAGAGGTCTTCCATCCACTGGTTCACTCCCCAAATGGCTGCAATGGCTGAAGCTGGGATGATCTGAAGCCAGGAGCCAGGAGCTTTTTCTGGGTCTCCCACGTGGGTACAGGAGCCCAAGCATTTGGGACATTTTCTGCTCTTTCCCAGGCTATAAACAGAGAGCCAGCCAGGAAGAGGAGCAGCTGGGACACGAATCGGCACCCATATGGGATGCCCACAACACAAGCAGAGGCTTAACTTACTGTGCCACAACGCGGACCCCAAATTCAGATCTTTTAATTCAGACTTTTGAAATAAATAATTAAATGATTTTAAACATGACATGAATTCCATATACAGAATTATTTTTAGAAGTGGATCTGGCTGTAGCAGTTGGAATGAGAGCCTAGATTTAGAAGGTAGTCTTTGATAAAGTTAGAGGAGTAGGAGTGTTGTGAAAGAGTAATGAACTTTATTTTCTAGAGACTGAGTTTAAGTTGCCTGTTGGACTTCAAAGTGAAAGTGCCCTCAGGTTAGGTATGGGACAGAAGTGGTGGGTGAAGCCTGGGATAGAAATACTGAAAACTTTATAGTATGACAGAAACAGGAAACACTGTTAACAAGCGGCATACCAGTAGAGAACAGATGATGTCATATTTGTATGTGACAAGATTTTGTTAGCTATTACTTCTGCATACTGTATTCCTGAGGATGATGAAACCACATTTTAAGTAGTATCCCGTAATTCAGAGATTGTACTAAGTGTGGCCTTCTATCTAGTTAGTCTGATAGAATGATGTGAAATTTAGTAAAACATTTTACCTGATGATAAGTAAGAAGAGAGGAATTGAAGAGGACCTCGTGTCATGAAGTTCTCCCTAAAAAGGCTGAGGAAAAGCTATGAATATTAAACAGGCTAATTTTATATGTGTTGCAAATATCATTTTCTGTAAGAATAGTTTTCTCTTTAGAAAAGAGCAAGTTCCTGCAGTGGGCCCCAGGGAGGTGCAGCTTGGTTGGGCCCCAGGTTGGCTAGAGGTGTGCTGCGGAGTGGTCCTCTGAATCCCTCACTAACTCAACTGCCTGTGTTCTTTTCTCACCTTAACTAGGAATTGTGGTGCTTGGAATAAACAGAGCCTATGGCAAAAATGCACTCAGCAGAAATCTGATAAAGATGGTGAGTGTGAAGATTCCGCATGTGTTTCTAATGCTCAGACACAGTGTTGACATCTACCTGAAAATGATTCTGTCCTTTTTTCTTCCTTACCCTCCCTGTTTTGGTTTAGCTCTCGAAAGCTGTGGATTCTTTAAAATCTGATAAGAAAGTGCGGACCATAATCATCAGGAGTGAAGTCCCAGGGATATTCTGTGCTGGTATGTAAATGAATGTTATTGCAACATTAAATGACTGTCTGATGTTTCCTCAGGAATAGCCTGGTTTTCATTAAAATGTTCTGTGCTTTGACTTCCATTACCAGCTCCTCTTTGTGTTTGCTGTTTCACCAGGAAAAAAAAATAATAAGCATAGTTTGTCAGTGTTAGAAACTTCTGCAAAATGTGAGTTGAAAATACTTTGTTATTAAAATTTGTGTGTAGAACATGAATACTATTTATGAAACGTGAGTTAGGGAGGAAAAGTTAGGTATCCTTTCACAGCTTTGTGCTTTATACTTATTAGTTGCTTTAAAAATACTTTTAATCACTAGTGGTAGCTGCCCCATCACAAAGTGTTATGTGTAGACATTTGCTTTCAAATTAGTATGGTAGTAGCCACCCAAATATGTGCTCATGCATTGTACAGTACTTTTCTGTTGGTATCTACAGCACTGAAAGGCAGAATTAATTCATGTGTATGTATTTTTTTGTTTGTGGTACATAATCCAAAAGCTAAAGATTAAGTCATCTTGCATTTTTCCTTATCTCCCAGTGTTTCTAAGCTTGATAGTGAATGAGTCCATTTCAGCTAGTAAAAACTACAGGTGATCAAGGTGACCAATACTAATAGCATACAGTATCATTGTGAATTACTAATAAGCAAATAAAAGTACATGGTGACTGAAGCAGAAAAAATATTTTTTCAGTAAAACTATCAGTGGGATAATCCCCTTGAAATAATCAAAGAATTTGAGGGAATGACCTGCAGTGTTTTATTCATTAAGCAATTATTTGTGGAGCATTTTAAGTACTTAGCACCCAAAACAGCTCTAAGGATATGAGGGAATATTTTTAGAGTGTTTTTAATTGTGGTCAGTGTTCATTTTCATTTTCAATGGGCCTCTCTCCCTCCTCCTCTCCTTCCCTCCCTCCTTCCCTCCCTGCTTTCCTTCCTTCCTTCCTTCCTTCCTTCCTTCCTTCCTTCCTTCCTTCCTTCCTTCCTTCATGATTTATTTGAAAGGCAAGGTTAGAGAGAGGGGAGGGATCTTCCATCTGCTGGTTCACTCTCTAGATGGCCACAATGACCCCGGCTGGGCTGGGCCTTGCTGGAGCCAATAACCACGAACTTTATATGCGTCTCCCACGTGGGTGGTAGGGGCCCAAACAGTTGGATGGTCTGCTGATGCTCTTCCCAGGCCATTAGCAGAGATCTGGATAGGAAGCGGAGCAGCCAGGGACGTGAACTGGCACCCATACGTGATGCTGGCATTGCAGGTGGTGGCTTAACATGAACGCTGGTCCATTGAGAACCCTTTTAAAACTTAATCTTTATTTTTTATTTATTTATTTTTTTTTGACAAGCAGAATGGACAGTGAGAGAGAGAGACAGAGAGAAAGGTCTTCCTTTGCCGTTGGTTCACCCCACAATGGCCACTGCGGCCGGCGCGCTGTGGCCGGTGCGCTGTGGCCGGCACAACGCGCTGATCCGAAGCCAGGAGCCGGGTACTTCTGCTGGTCTCCTATGCGGGTGCAGGGCCCAAGCACTTGGGCCATCCTCCACTGCACTCCCAGGACATAGCAGAGAGCTGGACTGGAAGAGGAGCAACTGGGACAGAATCCGGTGGTGCCCTGACTGGGACTAGAAGCCCATGTGCCGGTGCCGCAGACGGAGGATTAGCCTATTGAGCCGCGGCGCCGGCTAAACCTTAATCTTTATGGCTTCCAACTTAAAATGCTGCAGAATTTTATGATATTTGTTATTTGGGTAAATGAGTTATATTTTAACCTGGGTAAGATTTTATTGCTTTTTCAAAGCATAATGTAGTATATCTAGAAAGACGAGATTTTACTATTGTAGTTTAAAAAAAAAAGCACGGAATTATTACCCTCAACTGTTTGGGTTATGACAGTGTGAATTTGTCAGACAAGAGCAGTCCTATGTAGCTCGTGGGACTGTTGGAGACTTTGATGTATATGGTGTATATGAAGCACACAGTACAGCACCGTCATTCAGGAATTTCTCCCTCTCCATGAAGATTATGCCAGGACCATATGCAAGTCCACAGTGCTCCAGTCTCTTACAAAGAAGGGTGTGGCATTTGCATATAGTATACTCACATTATCTTGTGTACTTTAAATAATTTCTGGATTGCTTATCCTAATACAATGTAAATGCTTTGTAAGCACTTGTTATGCCCTAATGTTTAGAGAATAATGATGAGAGAAAAAAAGTTACATGTTGATTACACAGATGCAGTGTTTTTACCAGATATTTTTTGGTCTTTGGGTGGTTGAGTCTGAAGATATGAGGGCTAACTATATTCAGTGAATGGTAACTCTTAATATTTCTTACATGCCTTTATATATTTTGAATCTTTTTTTCTTAAACATTGTGAAAACTTAGCCAAGAGCATTAAAGAGCCTTTTATCAGTAACTTAGAGGAGCCAGATGAACCTAGTCTGGAGGTTGACCAGTTGTGTGAACTCTGTGACTGGCTGCTGGGAGGCCTGGAGGTTCTTGGGGCTGATTGGAAGAATGGAGAGTAGGGTTTAAGGAAGGGCCTAACTGTGTGGATCTTTGAGGAGGGCTAGTTAAACTGTGAAACCAGAACAGCACTTTAAAATTCAGTGTAAATGATCACCTGGCAGTGACTTATCTTCCTCCCTCCCTCCCTCCCTCCCTCCCTTCCTTCCTTCCTTCCATTGGTTACTCCCCAAATGGCCGCTATAGCCGGCGCTGTGCTGATCCGAAGCCAGGAACCAGGTCCTCCTCCTGGTCTCCCACATGGGTGCAGGGACCCAGGGACCTGGGCCATCCTCCACTGCCTTCCCAGGCCACAGCAGAGAGCTGGACGGGGAGAGGAGCAACTGGGACAGAACCCGGTGCCAATATGGGATGCCAGCACCGCAGGTAGAGGATTAACCAAGTGAGCCATGGCACCGGCCCCTTGACTGTTTTTTTTTTTTTAAAGATTATTTATTTATTTGAACGTCTGAGTTACATACAGAGAGAAGGAGAGGCAGAGAGAGAGAGAGAGGTCTTCCATCTGCTGGTTCACTCCCCAATTGGCCACAACGGCTGGAGCTGTGCCGATCAGGAGCCAGGAACCTCCTGCAGTCTCCCACACGGGTACAGGGGCCCAAGGACTTGCGCCATTTTCTACTGCTTTCCCAGGCCATAGCAGAGAGCTGGATTGGAAGTGGAGCAGCCGGGACTCGAACCAGCGCCCATATGGGATGCCGGTACCGTAGGCGGCGGCTTTACCCACTGCGCCTTAGCGCCGGCCCGGTTTTAAGTTTCTATTGGTAATAGTTTTTTTTTTTTTTTCTTGACAAGCAGAGTTAGACAGTGAGAGAGAGAGGCAGAGAGAAAGGTCTTCCTTCCGTTGGTTCACCCCCCAAATAGCCACTACGGCCGGTGCTGCGCCAATCTGAAGCCAGGAGCCAGGTGCTTCCTCCAGGTCTCCCACGTGGGTGTAGGGCTCAAGCACTGGGGCCATCTTCCACTGCCTTCCCAGGCCACAGCAGAGCTGGACTGGAAGAGGAGCAACCGGGACAGAACCAGTGCCCCAGCCGGGACTAGAACCTGGGGTGCCTGCACTGCAGGTGGAGGATTAGCCTAGTGAGCCGAGGTGCCGGCCGGTAATACTTTTTGTAACTATCTCAGACTTACTGGTAGAATTCTTTTTGTTTGTTTCTTCTGCATTTCTGTATTGCTAATATAGTAATATTCTTTGAAAAATAAAACTTTAGTGCTCTATTACAGTTTTCAGCTGTTACAGGTTGCCTTTTTCAGCACATACTAAATGATATGTGAAATGTTTATCAGACTAACAAGTTAGCCTTGAATACTTGTTTTCCAAGTCAGTAAAGCTATTTGCTCTCGTTAATGTGCTGTATCGTCAGGGTAATCTGTTGTAACTCACAGGGCTGGAGGTTCTTGACTCACTTGTAATGGAAATTGACAGGTAGTCAGTGTTCAACCCAGACCAGGTTTGTTGAGGGCTTAGAACCTTCTGGTTATCTGACTGAGCTGCACTGAGGTTTTTATCGGGTTGGGGAGGTGTGGCCACACCCCAGGGGTCTCTGGCTCTTCCCCCTCAGCACACAGCACTTTGGTTTGCACCTGTTCTGCGCAGGTGTGGTGGCTCTTTTCACAGGTGGTGTGCTCAGAATGGTCGTGTTGCTCTCTACTGCCTCCCTAGGAAGGTTGTGGGTGGGTCGTGTTGGGCTGTTCTAGGTATTTGCTCGGGGTTGGGGACGTCCTTAATGGGGGTTATTCTGTGGTTAGGGTCTGGATGCTTCTTGCTCTGGATGGGTTTGGAGGTGGGTGGAATAGTTGATAATCAGAGATGGTTACATGGTCTGGTTGTTAGGGGTTTGATTTAGTGAGTCCTGTTTCTCTCCTGTCTCATTTGAATTGGTATAAGTTATTTACATTAGTAATTCAGTGTGTATAGTGAAACCATGAGGTTAGGACCTGGTTAAGGGTCTGGTCTTTCTCTCTCTCATTTTATTTTTTTTTAATATTTATTTTATTTATTTGAAAAAGTTACAGCGAGAGTTAGAGACAGAGAGAGAGAGGTATTCCATCTGCTGGTTCACTCCCCAGATGGCTGCAATGGCCGGCGCTGCGCTGATCCGAAGCCAGGAGCCAGGAGCTTCTTCAGGTCTCCCATGTGGGTGCAGGGGCCCAAGGACTTGGGCCATCTTCTACTGCTTTCCCAGGCCATAGCAGAGAGCTGGATTGGAAGAGGAGCAACCAGGACTCAAACTGCTGCCCTTGTAGGATGCCGGTGCCTCAGGCCAGGGTGTTAACCTGCTGTGCCACAGTGCTGGCTCCCTATCTCTGATTTGTAGGAAGACTTATTTATTTGAAAGAGATGCAGAGAGAGAAGGAGAGAGAGGGAGAAATCTTCCATCTGCTGGTTCACTCCCCAGATGGCTGCGATGGCGGGGGCTGGGCTGGTCTGAAGCTTCTTCTGGGTCTCCCACATGGG